TTAGAAGACTCTGTTTCTAATACACTCTCATTCCTAAAACTCAAATACCCCTCCTTCAACAAAATAAAACAAAGTTGGATGTGGTGCTGTGTACATGTAATCCTAGGCCCGGGTACATTGAGATAAGTGGAACCCTGGTACTTACTGGGCAACCAGTTGAGTCACACTGGTGAGCTCTAATTTAGTGAGAGACCCTGTTTCAAAAAACATGATGGACAGCTTCCTCTGAGCAATGATACCCAAGGCTGACCTCTTACCTTTTTACACATGGCACATATGTGCATGTATATGCACATACAAAGTAAGACTTAGAGATACAATGTGAACTGTGTACTGATGACGTACCTAAGCTTGGGCTGGCTATACTGAAATGTTCAGTGGCCCAACTATGGTCTGTGACTCAGTCACAGACAGCACAGATAGAGTCCTGCCCAACTCAGTGTTTGCAAGTTGTTTTCTCTTTGTGGTGTCAAACTTCTCTGAGGGGCCTCTTATTGACCACAGCCCTCCTTTGTGTTCCCCACGGATACATCTCAGGCTGACTATCACCTGTGGTCCATTTGGGACTATTTTATGACTTTAGACTAGGGCGAAGGGTGGAAAGGCGTGCCTCTGATCCCCACAAACATTAAAATCCTTAGTCATCAGCAATGGCCTTGGCCACTTGTCTTATTCTATTCCTTTTAGGTAAGGTGTCCTAGTTTGCTTTCTATGACTGTGATAAATACCATGGCCAAAAGAAATGTGGGCAGGAAAGGTTTCATTTCACCCTATGGTTTGCAGTTCATCATTCAGGGAAGTCAGGGCAGGAACTCAAGGCAGGAACCTGGAGGCAGGAACTGAAACAGAGGACATGGAGGAGTGCTGCTTACTGGCTTCCTCTTCCTAGCTTGCTCAGTTTGCTTCTTTATATAGCCCAGTACCACCTGCCGAGGGATGGCCCCACTTTCAATGGTATAGATCCTCCCACATCAATCATTAATCAGGAAAATTCCCCCACAGGTTTGCCTACAGTCCAATCTTATGGAGACATTCTCTCAATTAAGATGCCCTCTTTTCAGATGAGTCTAGCCTGTGTCAAATTGAAAAAATAAAACAACAAAACAATCGGAACATTGGGCATGAAGAATGTCCTTTCTAAATGACTACCATGAATTCCAATCTGTAGTTCAAACTTGTTTACCAAATGAAAGTGAGTCAAAATTTTGAGTAGTGTGTCAAATTGTCAGTATCCACTGTCTCCTTTCCCCAACTCCTGCTCTCACAGGACACTGGGACCCATTCTGCAGCATCTTTCCTATGTAGTTCTGCCCCCCAAGGCCCCTCAAATGGAAGAAAGAGACTCAACCTCAGAGAATCCAGATGAACACCAGAGCCAAGTTCTCTTAGGTAGCAGCTCTTGTCCCTATCTCTAGCTGTGGCAGCCACACCATTAGGTAACAGGCATAGGCATGTTTCTTAGAACATTTGTATCACTTGGGCAAAATCAAGATTAACAGTTCTAAGGCTGGTGAAATGGCTCAGTGGGTGAACTCCTTGTTGAACAAGCACAGAGACCTGTGTTTGGATCCCTACCAGCCACAGAAAAAAGTTAAGTATTGCAGTGTGCATCTGTAACCCTCATACTGGGGAGACAGAGACAGGTAGACTCCAGGGGCTTTCTGGGTACCCAATTATGGAGCTCTAGATTCATGGAGGCATCCCGTCTCAAATAGATGCTGTGATGCATTGTGGGAGCAGGTTCCCCTCATGCTAGCCTGTCCTCTTAGGCTCATGCCCAGCCCTGGAAGGTCTATATGGCCATATGATCTGCCTCAGTAGATGACATGGGCAGAAGCAGTTCAGGGACACTCCTCCTATTCCTTCCTGGGCTGTATCCACCTGAGCACAAGCTCAGCCTTCCTGGCCTTAGTGCAGGGGAATGGCCACATAGTCTGAGCAGAAGTGGACCAGTGTTGCTGGGAGCTCTGGAAAGTTCCAGACAAAAACTCCAGAATATTCCTGGTCAATCCCAGCCTACCCAAAAGATAATGACTTCCTAGAACACATTCTGCCTGCTGATTGTGAAGGTGAACCCTCTGCTGTTACCCAGGCACTCCTCATCCTATGCACTGGAGTTCTCTCTAGCACCTGCATTGGAGTTTCATGTGGATGAGAGGCTTGGTTCCTTTTTAACATTCTGGTGGAAATGTCACAGGCACTCAGAAATGGCTTTCAATCTTGTTGTTTTATCAATACAACTGGAATGGCAGCTGGGAACATAGCCCTTCCAAGCTCACTCTGACTCAAGGTCAGCCAATGGAATATATCACCCCGGTCTTTCTGTTTCCACAACATGGGACATCTGAGGACAGTTCTAACAGCTTTCCTTTTCTGTCTATACTACTTTGTCACATGTATTCTTTAAAAAAAAAATATATTTTTAAGCCAGGCTTTTCGACCTAAGCACTATTAACATTATGGGCTGGATGTTCTCTTGTGGGGACACCCTGTGCATTATGGGAAGCTCAACTCTACATGATCAGATTCAGCCATGAGATGTCTAGTGACACTGGCTCTCACTCATGACAGCTGGATACCAATGAAACTGATTGCATTCCTTTTTGCCCCTTCATATGATTTTTCTTTAACTATGCACCATGGTTGTATAGAAAAAGTTATTGCTATCTTTCATTAAATAAAAACAAATAAACAAACAAAACCCAAAATAAAGACTCCCAGTCTTCTGTCTGTCAGTGCTGAAGGCCAAAGTTCCTATCGAAAACGAGCCATTCTCATGACAGGAAGTGCTGATAAATGCTGAACATTCATTTGTTTGGTTATCTAGCCTCCATTCAGTAAGCATGCAGCAAGCAGCCACTGTTCTGAACAGGAGGCATGCTGGGAGAACAAACAAGTGAGGCTTCCTTCTGTTTCTAGTGCTCATAGCCTCTTCGGTGAGTCGCTACAGAAGCGTGCCTGTAAACCCCCTATAGCAAATTAAAAGAAGTACTCCAAAGGATGATTGAGGGTGGCGTCCGGGTGAGGAAGAGGTGATGGAAAGGAAAGCATTGTGGAGTGAGCTATTAGGCAGAGCAGGGGAGCTGGTATATTCCAGACTCCAAGTGTGATTAGAACATAGAGTAAGGGGCAGGGAAGAAGTAAGGAAGATGAAGCCAGAGACACTGCAGGGTCTAAGGGCCTTCTGAGCTATGCTGCTCACAGACAGCCTGATTTTGGCTACTCATGGATCAGTTATGGTTTCCCATGGTAGCACGTATTCCTCAGACAGGGTAGACCTGTTGCTCTCTACCTGTGCCTCAGAGCACCTGGCTACCCATCCCCAGCATACCACAAAGCCACAGCTTCAGGCTGAACCCATTATGTTTCTCTAGCAATTTGCTGAAGAGTGAAATGCCCTTAGTTAAGCAAAGGGAATGTGAGTAGAGGCCCAATGGGGAAATCTTCCCATGTCAACATTCCATTTTACCACTGGGCCAAGCAGAATCTTCCTTCTAAGGGTCCTGGGTGGGGAATTTGGACTTTTCCCACTGTTAAGAATGGCAGGTGGCATAGGCCTGTCCACCTAGTTGCCCAGAACACTGGGGCAGGAGGATCACGAATTCAAAGTCAGACTAGAAAACTTAGATGGTATTTTGAAATAAAAAGCTTAACGGAAGAGATGGATAGATACATTAGTGGCAGAGTACTTGTTTAGCATGTGTGACACCGGAGGTGCAATTCTCAGCAACACACACACACACTCACACACACACACACACACACACACACCATGCAAAGAGAAGATACACTATTACTTCAGATACAGAGAGACACCTGAGCTTGTGCTCACAGAGTCCACTACATGGGTTAGGTTCCTGTGAATGACACCAAAGGGGCACTGTTGGTCTCTGCAATACAGGTGCTGCTGTGGGTAGAAATGCATTTCCAGAAAGACACTTACATTCCTAAGCCTTGGTATCTGTGAGTGAGAGCTTCATATAGAAACAGGCATTTTAGACATATTTCAGTTCTGTGGAACAGGGTGGGCTCCTTGCTAGGCCAGTTCCTGGTTTCCTCACAGAAGAAGGAATGAACACACACACACACACACACACACACACACAGAGTGAGCATGGGGAGAACCAGAACTTGTACTGACAACTGCCTAATATGCTTGCCATAAGCCACAGACAGAAAGCATGTAGTCCTCGGGGGCCTTCAGAGAGAGCATTAGCTCCCATACACCTGGACTCCAGGCTAAGTGCTCTGGGCATTAAATGTGATATGCTTGTACTGTTCAAAGCAGTCTGTCATGACAGTCACTGGAAACAAAATACGTGTTCCTTTTGGGACCCTGCTGGAATGACACAGAACAGCCTTGATATAACTAAACAATTCAATGGAACCCCAGAAGGAGCTTGGAAGTCATCTTGGTTTTTTTTTCTTTTTTTTTTTTTTTTTGAATTTTTAAAGCCAGAGTGGCTAGGTTTTATATAATGACCACACATCTGGCCACAAGGACAGTGACGAAGTGTATGATGGCTGATTAAAATGATGACAACTTTCCCTTAGCATAAGTCAACTGAATATATCATTTTGCTTAAGCCAATTAATCTCCAAATTGCCAAGTTGGAACATGGCCTGTCTCATCACAGGGTTAGTTTTTCAGTGACAACAGAAAAAAAAAATACAAGATTCCAAAGGCATACAGTAGCTCCAAGCACAAAGATATGTCCAAGCCGCTCTCCCAAACCTGGTTCCCCAAGTGAGAGCTATCAAAAGTCGGATGTTTTCAGGCCTTACGATCCACAGAGCATCTGAAAGAGCTATTGATTTTTTTTTTTTTTTAATAAAAAGACTTCTTACAAGTACAAGCTGGAGAAACATGCATAAAAAAACTTCTGCACACAATATGCAACATATTTCTGCTTCTGCAAACATCATGTGTCAAGAACTGTGCTTCCAGGACTCTAGGAGGCATGCGTGAGAAACAGATCAAGGGGCAGCGTGGGTCTTACCTTGCCTTTGTCAAAGTAGTGGATGATTTCTTGGTAGAGTTGCTCTTTCAGCTGTCCTTGCGTTGTTGCCAGAAACCCGTCCCTTTGAGTGAGATGGGCTGCACACACGTCCTCCGACCACTGAGGCAAAAACAACAAATGAACAATGCTGAGGCAGGGGCATGTTCAATAATATCACTGAGCACCAAGCCAGGCCTTGTGTGTGTGTGTGTGTGTGTGTGTGTGTGTGTGTGTGTGTGTGTGTGTATGAGACTGTGATGCCAGGGACCTGGGGGTGCTGTCGTTTCATTACAATGCCAAGGCTTGGAAATGCCAGGGGCACAACCTGTCTCTGGAGGGCCTAACAGAGCCGATGTACCGAGCAGAAATCCCTGAGGAGCATGGGCTCCCAAGCTTGCAGGCAGCTTCATGGCAGCCAGAGGTGTAGTATAAGAAGGTGGTTGGTGACTGTCTTCTGTGTGCAACTAGAGCTCTTTATCCTTGGTCAGAAGTCACTCAAGACCTTAATGGGCAATACAGGTCATCCTGAAAGGAACTCCATAGGCTAGCAAGATCCTTAGGGAGGGAGAGGTACCTATGCACCACCAGCTTTGGGTCTGTTGCCCAGCACTGGCTCCATCAGAGATTGTGGAAGTACTGGTCAGTTTTTGTGTGAAATAAGAGGTACCACAGTGGAGGCTAAGGCCACTTGACAGGCAAACCATGTGAACTCCTCTATATTAGCTTGACAAACCAACATGGTTCGTATGGGCTTCAGTAAAAATGAGCAGCTGCTTCTTGAGGTCCTTCTGTGTGCCTATTGGTCAAAGATGGTTTAGGAGCCTCACCCATAGGAGCTCTGAGCCATCCAAAGACTGTGGTCACACAAGTGCATCATGGGATATAATAATCCTGAAGAAGATTCCATATAAGGGTAGAGGAGAGACTTTGCATGGGGTGACCTGGGAGTCTCAGATGACCTATATAGTGCAATTGATCTTGTAATAAGACAGGACAATGAGGGTACTGCAAAGAAGCTATTGACTCCCAGGTCATAGTTTCCAAGTGAATGTGGGTAGGAGTGTGGGATGTCCAGGTGAACTCAGTGCAGTAACACTTGTTTGGAGCATGACATCCTAGGGGAACAGGGCAAGGACTGGGGACATGGGTGGTGCAGTGACATAGGACAAAGGGCCATATGGACTGGTATGGTGACATGGGGAGTGAGGCTCCAGTGAAGGTGGTGAAACACCGATGGATGCTTGCTCTTTGGCACACACCCTTTCCAATGCCCTGGGCTGCCTCGTGCTAAATGCTGCCAAGCCTGAAGGGCTCCCTATCCCTAGGACTGTTGGGTAGGAGCAGAAAGGCCTATATATGGTCTACAAGATACTCAAATTAACGGCGGACCTGCAGATCCCACCTGCAAGCAGAAATGAGAAACTACATAACCTGAGTTGTTACAGTAGGCTGTTTTGGAAGTACACTTGTGGATGTAAATGAAAAACTCTGGTAAGAGCCAGAAGGTTCAGGCTTATTTTATGATTTCAGATCATAAAAGTAACATATTGAATAGGGATGGGGAAGTTCCCTGCACTTTCCACTTAAGTCTAGAAATGAATAAATTCACTGTGAAGCTAAACACTCATACTTTAAATCATCCTTACTTTTTAAATCAAAAATATAGTAAAAAGGAGGACTGCATTTAAGAATCTTTTAGTTAACAGACACAACAACATAGACTTGTTTAGTCTGTTGACTAACCAGCATGAATTTACACTGATAACAATATCAAATATATTTAGGGAAGAAAATCACAAAATGTAATAGTATAAAAAATATGGAGGCAGATCATGTTGCATTTACCACTTAATTGGCAAATTTGGAGCCCAGTGGAAGAGATAATGCAATTGAGCCTATTGATCGAGGCAGTGGAACAAGCTATCACACAGCCTGTGACAAGCCCATCTGTATGCAATATATCCAAAGATTAAGCAAATGCAATGCTTATGCACACATATATGTTTTACATTCATTCAGACTTGCAAAGTTTATGTTTTAAGAGTGTGAGCAGTCTGGCAAGCTGTTTTAATTTTCCTGGTGTGAACAACAAGATCTTCACATTTTGTAAAAATACCTTTCCTGGCATTTGGATTCCTAATAAATGCAGACATTGGACTTTACAAAGGAAATGGCTGCTTCCAGAGCCATGCCCTGCAAACTCTATCTTCAAAATGCTCTTCCTTGGAACAGCATTAGAAGGCTATGAGACAGTAGGGGGTCCTTAGGCATTCATCCTCCAGGATTATGGAGGGGTAACCAGAGTAAGCCAGCACTTTGCCTTCTGCCGGCCAGGAATCTGCCCATCTCAGGCAAAGGTAAATGTGGCAGATCCACATATGGTGTGTGTGTTTGTGTGCAGATTTAAGGATGAGGACAGAGGCTAAAGGAGTCACCTCTGTAACACTATCCTCCTTGACTCCTACAGCCCAACAGGCATCTCTTAATGCACATTTAAATGTAATTTTATCTGTGGGTTTATCTCTCACTCTGCTTTTGGTGTTTGGTGCGTGTGGAGGGCATGGGGAGGTAAGCCTAGATTTGGAAACAAGATTCCTTAACTGAGCACACTAATGGTTCTTGTTTGTCTAGTGCTGGGTTTCCTGATCTTTATATATGAATGGCATGAGAAAGACAATCAAGAGTTACTGAGATTCTCAAATATAAAACTTGAAGTTGCATAGCAGTTTCTCCATCTATTTATATGTCTAGCCACACCCACTATCTACCATCTACCCATGCATCCTCACAGCTTTCATCTACCCCCCATATCCATCCATCCATCCATCTATCCATCCATCCGTTATCCATCAATCCTTACCCCATGCATCATCCAACACCCAGCCATCCATGCATTTGTCCTTCTCTTTTACCACTTACTTCCCCATATCCATCCATTTACTAATTCACCCATCCATCAGCCCACCTACCTATTCTAGTTATTTTATGAGGATCTAAATCAGTATTATTAACTATTCTATAATTGACCATGGAAGAGAACACAGGCACATCATTAGCACAGGCAAAAGGCCAATGTCTAAGAGTGAGCTGACTAATAAAGGAATCACTTGGAGTTGAAAGTTCTCAAGCTATTGATCATTAGCAATACTTTTGAGAGATTCATAGACAGGCAACACAGAAACTCTTAGCCTGGTCTGCTCTGTGGAAATGTTGGAATCCGGTCTTCCCTCTTCCAATGTGAGAAGGAGGATGACTTATCCTTCCTCCCGGCTGCTCTACCAGGGTCATTCTTTTTATTGATGTTGTTCTCCATCCCTCCTCAGTCCTGTTGGCACAAGTGAGGAATTGTATGATATCTGACTCTCTGTCACTTCACAGCCCACTGAAGTTTTACAAAACTTGACACCTTGTTAAATTGGCATTCAGCTGGGCCGAATCTGTAATCAGAGCACTTCTTGAATATTTGCTGTTTATGCCATTGACTACAGCCAATATCTATAAACTCTCATGCCAGTGATTTACTAAAATTTGTCACGGAAAAGGAAAATTCGGAATAAACTCAGAATTTATAGGAAGTGCTGCATAGATGTATACTGTGGTTTTTATTACCTTTAGAAGCTTTGCGTGGAGAAGCAAGGTGTAAGCTGCTTCTGTGTAGTTGTCACACTCTTTGTGCAGGTCACAGAGCTTGTATAAGTACCTGGTGAAGAAATAAGGCTACATTCTTAAAGCGTCGCAAGGTAATTTGTGTTGAGGACTGCAGGTGCTAAATTCGACATTCAACAGTAACTCATGGCTACCCTTTCTTTTTACTATGCTCATAATTCACAATGCTTTGAAAACTGTTGGTGCAGAAATCACTAAAATAACTGATAGGAATAAGTGTAATATTAATAATATACACACATGCATATATATATTATACATATATAAATATGGCATACACATATACAAATATATAATTTTAAGTCATCTTTGTAGGAAAACATTAAGATACTATATAAAGGTAAAAATCTTACTTCATGGTTCCTTATTTCTTTCATCTTTCTCAGTTTTATTCCTCAAACATTTGAAATGAGATTAAACAATTGGATTGCACATTTCTCTTGAGTCAAAATGCACACACACACACACACACACAGGTCCATAAAGATCCAAATCCACAAGATAAAAAAAAAAAAAAAAAAAAAAAAAAAAAAAAAACCTGTGATGACTGTGATGACAGTGAATGTGATCAAAAGATTGCCTGTGCTGCAGGAAGAAAAGGATGTTCTTTACTATAAAGCCAGACACATTCGGATCAAAGAGGCTGGTTGTTTCCCCAAGTTTATTATATTCATATGGTATGTTTCAAAAGGAAAATAAAAGGCAAGAGCTAAAAACAAACAAACAAACCAAAAAAACCAAAACACACACACACGCACGTGCACTCTGTGTAGCCACCACACAGTCAAGCTGCCTGTCACAAAGGTGCCAGGCTAACCTGATTCCCAAGTGGTTTGTCATCTTGCTGATTAGTGACCACAGAATCTGAAAAGTGAGCATGAAATATAGTGCTTTGATCTCCCAGAGATGCTGAGGATCAAACCCGGGTCCTACCCAAGCTCTACCAGTGAACTATGTCCTCAGTATATCTTAAAAGCAAACAAAGAATCAAGTCCAGCTGGCCACACAAATCGTGTGTGTGTGTATGTGTGTGTGTGTGTGTGAGAAAGACACAGGCATGTTGGAATAGGATACTAGTTAAAGTGAGTTATATTGTCTACTTTTGGAAAATTTATATTTCCCATTTAATCACACGACTTACTAAGAAACTTTAAAATTTGTAATATATCTTTTAAATTTTTTTCCTAAAAGGACTACATTTGTTGATCAATAGTAACCTAAACCGCCATAAATAACCACGGGGACTGGCTTCCTAGCTGGCTAAATGTTGTCCCTCTTAACCCAAACTTTACATAGGTATGGACACACTATATAAGGGCTGAGAGCATACCCGAGGCTCCACCAGATTTCATCTCAAAGTCAAGATGATGTTCTACAAAAGAAACTCTGCAAGGTACAAACCACTCCTTCACATGCTTTGACACATAGTGTTGACAACATACACACAGGGGGTGCTGGCCTACAGCACTCAAAGGGTGATGGCTAGCATGCCACACGTGTATACACATCTCACAGTGACTGCAGTGCACACAGAAAGTGCCAGCCAGCATAGCAATACGTCTCTTGTATACATCTCGCAGTAATTACAACACACACGCAGGCTGCTGGCCAGCACGGCACACGCCTACCTTATATAACACACAGTAAGCACAATGCAGAGGGTGCCACCAAAGGGATATACACGTACCTTATATACATCTCTTCTCTTTCAATTTCTTTGTAGAAATTCTGAAAAAGTAAGCCACAGCATTGCTTTAAGAAACTGACTCCATTACATAATACAATACAAAGAACAACAAAGCAAACATTAAAACCACAACTTGTCAAAATAGTCCCACATTGTGAATCCATGGTTCAGCGTGATTGTCACATCCAGTGGACAAAGTCCATGCAGAGTAGATCTCTCCATTCACCTGTGCTCTGAGCATCTCACAGAATCCCTGACTTTTGCTTCTGTAACGACCACATCTCAAACACTTTAGACACTTGAGGATTAAATCTATGTGTCATTTGGAAGTCACTCGCCTTCGGTAAAATCAAGGTTCTGGCTGAAAATACGATCTCTTAATCATTAGACTTTCATTTGAACAAACAATCCAAAGTTGTGAGTAAGGAAAGGTACCATCAAAGATGTCAGCATTCTGGGACGAACCTCTGAGAGACACAGAAGCATGGCAACATTCTTGTTCTCACATGTCACAAACCACTAGCCACATATATTAAGGTAAAGACATGTTAATTACTTAACACTGCTACTCTACTATCTTGAGCAGTATTGAAGCAGAACACCCCCCCCATTTAACCCATAATGTTTCCTGAAGAAAATTTCATTGTTTTAGAGAGACAGACCTTCCATAGTGAGAAAAATGGGTATTCACTTAAAAAGGAAGAAAGGGAAGGAGGGAGGGAATAAAGGAGGAAGGAAGGGAGGAAGGAAGGAAGGAAGGAAGGGAGAAAGGAAGGCCCTCACACACAACCATGGAGGAGCAAATTTGGTTTGTGAATTCCAGTAAGAGGACTATTTCTACACATTACTGAAAAATATCATCTAATTCAATGTCTATACCAAAATCACACCTCTGGTAAGCATGACAGCACACATGTGTAATGCCAGCACTTGGGAGGCTGAGGCAGGGGAATTATGGGTTTGGGCCAGTGTGGACTATATAGAGAATGTCACACTAATCTGGTGACACAGTGAAACCCTGTGTTACCCTTCCCTCCTGCTAACATTTCTCCTTCATATGGACTACTTCATATACATGAAGTCATGCACAGGATACTGCAAAGGGACAAGAGTCAGCTCATAGGGCCCATAGGATGGAAGCATCATAGCCATTTCTTTTCTGCATTATTTTTTTCCATTTTTCATGAGAATTTCCTAATGCATACAATGAAGCATGATCATATCCCATGACAAGTTCCCCCTTGAACTCTTTCCCAAATACTCCCTCTTAACTTCATGTCTTCTTATTCTTTTTTGAATGACCCATTAAATCTAATTAATGCTGTCACACATGCATGGCTGAGGGGGTCATCAACTGGAGCATGTAACTAGACTAGAGGGACATATTCATTCTTTTCCTTTTAAACTTACAGCTTTTTTTTTTTTTTTTCTTTTTTTAAATTTTTAAGAATGTATCTCCCAGCTTGGCATTGATAGTACACACTTTTAATGCCAGCACTCAGGAGGCAAAGGCAGGTGGATCTCTGAGCCAAGGCCAGCCTGGTCTACAGAGCAAGTCCCAGGACAGCCAGGGCCACACAGAAAACCCCCAGCTTCAAAAACAAAACATAACAAAGAAAGATTCTCCCTCCTCCCAGCTCCTGAGGAGCTGGCAAACATCAACACTATAAAGACACACAGTGACCCAGTAAGACGATTTGATTTCATAGGTCAAAGAGGACACTGTTTCCAAGGCGCAGTCTCTCTGGAAAGAAAGGATGGGAACATGTAGATAGCAGCAAACAGGGTTATGTTCTGAAGAACCTAGTTTTACCTAGCGCTGCACCCGACACTAGAAGGAGCGTTGGCTCCTATGACGCACGCGATAATGAGGACATTTTCAGCTACAAGTCAAAGACCAAACAGAAGATTCAGAGCGAGCAAACACTTCCTTCCCACCTCTCACTCACAGCATTCAGAAGTAATGATGTCACAGCAGCCTCTCTTGTGCCCATCTTTTCAATTCCCTCCTACTATTTTGGTCCTGCATAGATTCTTCCTTACAGTTCTACAGTGATCATATCCTGTGACTCTCATTTGTCTCTCAGGGACACAGGCTGCCTTTTATCTTCTGCCCTTGCTGAAGTCTGTTACTGTCTTTGAACTTCAACACCCCTCTAGAACTGAATATGTGATAACTTTTATATAATAATATAACATGGAATATTATATATAGTTGTATATCATATGTTTCTACATATGAGCTTGGCAAGGAATGTTTAGAGATAGAATTTTTAAATTTATTAATATTTGTATGAGTCTGTGCAACAGTGGAATGAATATGCTCTTAGCTGCTCAGCCATCTCTCCAACCCCTAGAGATAGGATTCTCATTGGTAATATTATAGATTCCTTTTCCTCACTTCTCACGGATTTACATTCCATAGATGTGCTCAAACAGGAAAGGATCCATCCCATCACCCCTGGGGATGGTGAGAGACTAATGTTTCACTTTTCAGGCAATGACAGAGGCTGCTTCCTGGTGAGGAAGTTAATAATGTGAGATCACCTTGGGAATTCTGGGTGTCTCTCAGCAGGAGCCCGAGCTGACAGCAGCAACAGTAAGTGGGCTCTGAGTGAGCCTCCAAATAAAGGAGAGACCTATATCAACATCAAAAACACGGCTGCAGGTGTCGTTCCAAAGGCCTGCTTCCCAACTGTGGCCACTGGGATAAGAAGCCAAGTTCAGCTCGGTGCTATCTCTCTACCAGGTGTCTTGTTCCCCTAAGCAGAGACACACACACACACACACACACACACACACACACACACACACACACACACACACACACACCTGTGTCTAAGTCATCCAAGTTGGAAGCCTAATACGAACTTATTAATACTTCTTCCTTCTAGATGCTAAGCAGTCTCCCAGACCCCCTTAAGGATCACAGTGCACATTCATGCTACAATAACATCCAAGGACTGATTTTGAAAAGGTCTCCATATTTTTTCCCTCAGGGAAATGCCAGTCCATACTCTGTGTCAGCCTCACTGGCACCAGGAAGTTTCATCACTTAGGGCAGAGGTGAGAACACACAAAAATGCTGAAAGCAGGGCCAGCTGCTTTCCCAGTGCCTACAGGCAAAGGTCATCTTAGTGGGTAGTCTGTGAACACAAAGAGCCAGATGGACAGACCTCAGGAACAGATGTAGGAGTTGTGTGCAGACCTATTAACCTGTTTATATTCCTTTTTATATTTTATATTTCTTTTAAAAAATATTTTTAACTGTAGTTTTCCTTCTTTTTTTTGATTCTTTGAGAATTGTATACAATATATTTTGATTATATTCACCCCTCCCACTTCCTCCCAGATCCACTTTATCCTTCCTTTTCCAGCTTTGTGTCTAAGATTGTTTTAAAGCCACCAGGTCTCATTTGTATTGCTCATTGCTCAGCTACTCCTGGACATGTCGCTAACCACTGGAGTGTGGTTGACTTGTAGGCACCAAACTCTTACAGTATCATAGGTAGTGAAAGACTACAAAAAACCCTAATGCTTCCTGGAAATAAAAGGGCAGTTGTTCTTATGAACTCACAGCAACTGTGACAGCATGCCAGTGGCCTACAAAACTACCCAGACCCAATCCCAGCATGGAGAGAGGAGGTAGGTATGAACTCTCTACCCTAGCTGAGGAGCTGTTGGCAACTAACAGCTCCTGGAAAGTGGGCAATCAGTCAGTTTTCTTTAAGGATGTAGCATCTACTTAGACTTTGAAGTTTACTAAATTCTTCCCCAGTTGTAGGGCACATGAGCAAGTCAAAGATGGTGTTGAGGGGAAGTCAGATAGGTGAGTCCTGAGTTGTTTACAAAAATAAATAATAAATAAATAAAAGATGATTGGTTGCCTAGATTGAACCAGATGAAGTCACTGCATGAACAGCTTGTGTTCACTAGGTAAAGCATAGGGCACATAGGCGTGTGATAGGCTGACCTTTAAAACCACGGGCTGGCTGTTTTCCTGCTCTGCAGTTTTTCCTTTAAAAGATGCTTGCTGTGGGACAATAAATGAGTTCCTGCTTGACTGGACTCCCTGCTGTGTCTGTGTGAAGGCTGGGAAATGGGCAAGCAGCACACTTACCTTTCCTGGGATCCAGCTCAGCTTTCTGCGGTTGGGCTAAGATCCCTGCACCCAGTCATGTCCCAGTTTGAGGAACCATCCAAGGGATATTTCACTATGTGAAGGTGCTTAAGTTCCCAGAATTTCTTTCTGACTCTTGGGTGTTCTGCATATATCATCCATCTGCTCTTGTATATTGCCATCTTTTCCATTAGAGTCCTCAGCTGTTTCAGTCTTTTTGTATGCTCATGTATGCATGAGTTTATATGTATGTGGACACCTGTGCATGCACATGTAAGAGGCCAGAAGACAACCTCGGGTCTTGTTGTGTAGATACCAGCCATGTTTATTATTTATTTACGTGTGGCTATAAACTTGTGTATGTGTGCAATGGCATACTCATACACAACGACACATATGTGGAGGGGGCAGGATAACTTGAGGGAGGTGCTTTCTACTTCCATTATATGGGTCCTGAGGATGGACACGGTTGTTAGATGTGGCAACAGGCACCTGCTAAACATCTTCCCTTCCCATTATTGAGGCAGGGGCTCTTACTGGCCTGGCTCTTGAGCTCCATCTCCCTGGGCTGGGATTACAAGCATGTGCCACCACACTCAGCTTTTTTAGTGTGAGTTCTGGGCCTCTAGCTCAGATCCTCAAGCTCTGTACAAATTAAACCTCAGCACTTCAGTTTCCTCCGTTCCCATAGTTGTTTGAAATGTCTGGATCAAGAGCTGTAAAACCTCTGTGGTGTACACATCTGGCTACGATGGCTTCTTTGTCCCTTAAACTGTGCTCTTAGTTCTGAGTATGGTTATTTCAGGCTGAAAGGAACGTGATGCCGACCCACAGTTTCTACGCTCCTGGATTTCAGCTCCGGCAGCTGTGACTATGGATCTCTCCAGCTCCCCAGATGTGGGAGCACTTGCCTGTCTAAGGGGATGGATGATGGAAGAACTGCTTATCCTTTCAGTTTGTTCCTTTTTCCTTGCTGCAAACGGAGTGACACTTCCCAAGCTCTTTCCACAACTGATGGACATCATACAGGGGCTGCTATTGCACAGGCCCTTTCAGGAGATGCTCCTCATGGTAAGATAGAGACTACATACATGCTAAGGGAAGCAGAGAGTAAAATGACACTTCTGCTGATCTGTTTTCTTCAAATATCTTGAGGGCTTTTCTTCCTTTAAGATTTACTTTATCATTTATTTATAAGAAAGTATGTATGTCTTTGTCCATTCATGAGTGTCATGAGGAGGGCCAGAAGAGGGCACTGGATCCCCTAGTGCTGAAGTTATAGAAGGTTCTGAGATGTCTGATATGGGTACTGAGAACTGAGCTCAGGTCCTCTGCAAAAGCAACACTCACTCTTAACCACCAAGTATTTGTCCGGCCACTTTTGATTTTTCTTAATATATGTGGGGTGTATGTGTGTACACCCGTGCATGTGTTCAGAGGCCAGAGGACGATATCACGTTTGCTGTTCTCTACTCTATCCCATTGACATAGGACCTCTCAATTAATGGGGATATGTGGGTTGGTGATCAGCAAGCCCCAGAGATCCTGTCTCTGCCTGTCACAGAGCTGCAGTTATAGGCACATACACCGCTCTGCCCGACTTTTTGTTGGAACTGTGATGCAAGCTCAGGGTCTCTCTCAGGTTTACATAACAAGCACCATTACTAACTGGGCCATATCTCCAACCTCTTTGGAAGAATGAATGCTGTACCACATTCCTCCTGTCACGAAAGTCCATTCCAGTGACCCCAGAGCATTTATAAGTCACACAAATGGCAGATATGGAAGTGAGAGCTAAGTGTTTGCATGCTACTTAATGACTGGGTCATGGCCTGAAATCAGAAGGCCAGTGACTGGGGAGAACAGTGAAGAACGTTAGGCATGGTAGGAAGAGTCTTGTCTGGCATTTCTGCCTAGAGACAGCTGAGAGAAGCAGTGGAGAGCCCCATATGGCCCAGACTCAGCCATTATGGCTGCTTAGGAGGGTAGCAGTGCACAAAGAAGCCAGCCTGGGAGATGCATCCACATACAGTGGAACAAGATTGTCCAGCCACTCCTTAGACTTGAACTTGGGTGGTATCATCAAGCACCCTCAAAGTACTCAGGCCTCCTGCTCTTCCAGGATGCACCTTAAGAGGGAGGTGCACCAGGATGGGTGTCCACAGACATAACGGCATTGGAGTCATAGCAGCAACATACAAGGTCAATGATAACCAGATTCACCCAGGCACCCTCTGTCTGTGCAGCCCTACACTGGTGTCCTATGGGTGCTCTAACAAATGACCGTACACTGGGTGGCTTCAAAGGACACAGAAGCCATCCCCACAGTCATGGAGTTCTGAAGCCAAGGTGTCAGTAGGTCAGCCATTCCTTGACTTTTTTCAGCATGTAGATTCTTGGGGTCCCGAGGACTGTCTTCATCACTCTAATTGCTGTTTTCTGTTCACATGGCTTATCTTCTGGATGTGTTTGCTTTCCTTTTCTGAGGGGAGGAGCACTGAAACCAGGACTTCTGTGACCTGCACAGGTCTCAGATATGCTAGATGGCTGAGGCTGGCCTTGAACTCTCACGATCCTCAGGCCTCCACTTCCTAAGGGCACCACCATGCCCAGCTTGTTTTCCTTTGTATGAGAACTCTTGGGAATGGATTTAACCCTTACCTACCTAGGCACCCCAGGCTAATCTCATCTCAGGCTTCAGTGTGGATGTGTGATTGAAAGTGAGAGGCCAATAATCTCAGCTGTCAGTCATTCCTCAGCTACTGTCCACCTGCCCCCCCCCTTGAGATAGAGTCTCTCATTGGCCTGGAGAGTACCAACCAGGGTGCCCAGTGAGACCCAGAAATGCGGCTGTCCAACTGTCTTTACTTAACTAGTACGGAGATTATACATCACCATGTTTGGGTTATTTTTACATGAGTTCTGGAAGACTGAACTCGGGTCTTCAGGTTAGTAGGGCAAGTACTCTACCAATTGAGCTAATGTCACCTCCCAGGATCTGATCAATCGGTAGAGACTCCTTTTTCCAAAGAGGGCCATCTTCACAGGACTAACGATAAATACACTCACTATAGTACATGACTCTGATCTAATACAATCAGAGTGTTATATCTTCAATTCAGGAGGTGCTACCTCGGTGATGAAAGTAGATGGCTTGCCACTCTCAGCCATAGTGAGGGTGAAAACATTCAGAAGGTAGCCACGCTCTCAGCCTGGCTGAGAGCAGGTATGTAAGCAATTTTCTATCCTTCCTCTGCAGCACCAAAGAGGTCTGGGGTTGGGGGTGGGGAGATATGCTGTGCTGTGAAGTGTTCTATGGCCAGCTGTCCTCTGGGCTCCACTTGCATTCGGCATGCTGTGAAGATGGAAGGTTTAATTAACTTTTCGCTCACCAGCACGTTGACTGTGCAGCTCATGCGATTCTCTTTGTTTTCGTCATGCATGATGGTCCTGTAGTCCAGGAGCCTCTCCATCAGCCGCACCACGAGCTTCACGAAAGTTTCCCCTGTCTTGGCGAGGTATTTATGCTTCCTGCAGTGCTCCAGGAGGCTGGAAAATAATTACATACACCTTGTTAATCACACTCCAAGAAAGAAACTTGAGGTGCGGTTTAAAATATTTCCCATTATTAACACATTTTAATTATTTCTGGGCTACAAAGTTCATTGTAGTCTAATTACAAGTCTCTCTGTCTCTCTCCTGACATAAATCCCACCGAGAATCAACACTTACATTTTATCAAATAACACTTTGTATTGCTCGTCTCCTCTGCCTCCTTCCACTTCATGATCCAGCTTAGTGATGATCTCATTTTCGAACTATAATTAAACAGAGGAAGCATAAATAATTAGCATGACAGATACTCCATTTTACAACGTGGGCCTCAATCACTTCTCCATCTTTGTGATCACTGTCGGGTGGTTACCCTCTGCCTTGGAAACCTGATTTCACTTCAGAAATGCTGTCCCCCAAACTCTTGTAGACATCTGATGACTCCTAGACTCAGAGAGAACCTTTCCTTTCTCTTCTAGTTACTGGAACCTGGATGCATGTATCTCAGTAGCAGGAGTAAGAGGCATAGAAGGAAAGTGAAGCCAACTGTAGGAAAACAGAATCAAGGAGTATCGGAAAGAGATACTAAACTTTATCTTTATAAACAAACAACACTTGAAACAGTGTGTGGATTCCTGGAGGGAACAGATGGCATTTCATTTGCTAGGTTAGCTTTTTTGGCAATCTGAAAACATCCACGTGGCCATTTCACTGCCACTCTGTGACAGATCTCCAATTCAAACAGGATAGCAGAAGAGTCTGGAAAGAGAAACCCCTTTTAGATGGTTCATTTCCAGGCTCACCTTATCCTCCTGAGAGCTGCTGACTGGATAGCACGAGCATTAGAGTTCACTGAATATATCTCAAATCCAGGTTTTAAAAAAAAAAAAAATCTAAGTTTTAGGGAGTCAGAAATTCCCAGAATGGCTTTAGAGCTCACCGTACTGGAAATAAACACCTTTATAATGACAATGTTTCCCTGTTCCTTCCCTGATAGCTGGGTGACACCTAGGTCAAAGAGAAACCCCAGGTTACATAGTAAGGGTGTTAGTAGGCAGGGAAAGCTGGAGGAGCATGAATTCTTACAAAGACAGGGGCATCCACACTATGAACAAAGGAAGGTGAATAAGAGGGAATCAGACAACTAAACTCAAAGTTCAGAAAGCAAGCACACTGTAGCATGGATGTGAAGATCTCCAGGATCCTTTAAAGATGTCTAACCAACCAGTTCTCAGCAGCAATCCCCAGGTGCCCCATGATGACAAGGCTCTTAAAAGAGTGACAGCCAGGTGAGAGTAGGCCTCCTCCCTTAGTGACTGCTGTACTGAGGCTTAGAGATGAGTCTGAGACAGTCATTCTCATGAAGTGACCATGTTGCCCCTCACACATAAAATATTTGTTTGGTGTTTTGTCATGTGTTTGTCTCATGTAGTCCAGGCTGGCTTCAAAATCAGTATAATGAAGGATGGACTTGGGGTCTTCTTGCCCGCATCTCCCAAGTGTTGTGATTATAGATACATGCCACTATACCAGATTTTATGGATTTCTGGGGATGGGATCCAGGGTTTCCTGTATGCTGGGCAAGCCCTCTACCAATGAGCCACATCCCTAGGGATGCAGGGAGTTGAGGCTTAAGGTAGATGGAGCTCAGCAGAGCTTGGTATGTCAGCAAAGAGTGGGCTGGTTGGCAATGAAACAATTGGCTTTCTGGGCCTTGTCCAACCAAGTAATAGACGTGGGACCCTGTCATGGGGGATGTGAAATGCTACTGTGGCAGTGGCAAAATGGTGGGCTCTGGAGAAGCAGAAAGCAAGGCCTAGGGAAGAGCCTGCAAGGTGACACAGACTCTGCTGTAGCAGGACCACCAGCCCCATCCAAATCATGACTTATTAATAATATGAAGGCTTAGGCTAAGCTCAGGCTTGTTTCTAGCTAGCTTTTATTCTTTAACTTAAATTAATCCATTTCTATTAATCCATTCACTTCATGTATGTACTGTCCATCCTTCCTTCCTGCCTCCTGTGTGTCTGTCTGGCTTCTGTCTGTCTGGACCATAGCTGGCTGGCTGGTTCTTCTTTGTTCTCTACCCACCAGCCTCACCTACCCCTGCTCTGTCTAGCTATTGGCCATTCAGTTTTTTTTTTTTTAAATTTTTTTTTTATTAGCCCAATCAGATGCTGCAGGGAGGCAAAGCAAAACAGCGACACATCTTTATCCACATAAACAAATGCAACACATCTTTACATAGTTAAACAAATATTCAGTTCCACAACACTCTCCCATCTTTTCAGGATGCTGCAGTACCCAGAGACTCACTTTCATCCTGCTGTGCAAACACAAGATGGGCAGGAGGGGTTGAAGTTGCTTCTTTCTTAGCACTAAAGACCTGGCAGCCTCCCAGCAACCTTGCCCTTTCTGAGCTCCTCTTTCTTTCTGATCTTCTCCATTCTCCTCCCAGATAAATACCACTTTTTGATTGTCAGGCTTAAGAAGTTCAAGCTTTTAGAAACAGAGTCGGTTCCATTGAAGGAAGAGATTGACTTGGCTCTTTTTTTTTTTTTTTTTTCCTTTTTTCAATGTGAAGTCTTAAGAAAAATACTTTTGCTGTAAAATGACCACCTTTTGTTACTTGCCTGCAATGACTCTACTCTTTGAAAAGGATTCCTTCCAGCACCCAGTCACTTTGGACTTTAACACAAGGGAGATCTCTTGCAATTAGCCCTGAGATGGCATTTCAAAGCAGTTCCATCCTTCGGGGGGGGGGGGGATGGGGGGAACTGAGTGAGATGCCAAAGATCAAAAATGTGACAGACAAGTGTGACTCACAAGTAGTTGTTATCTGAAAGAGACCCAATATCTTAATTCAGACATACACTGAAGCATCCATGTTTGAGGAATATAACTGGGGAAGTATAGAAAATTCGGAAAGGAAGGACTTATCCCAACACTGGCAGACACACACATTTAAAAAATTGTTCACCCCTCCCAGATCAGAAGGTATTGGGATGTGGGTCCTACTTTGTGAAAATAACACACTTTCTCTGCTTCTGTGTGTAAACACAGCTTTCACTCACACTTGGACAATGAGGGTGGCTTGGCTCCTTAATATGATGCTCATCAAACTTTTCTGAGGAATTTAATGTTTTCTAAAAAGAGTGGCTGAATGGTAATTGCATTAGAGCATGCTGTACTCCAGATTTACTGAATGCCAGTCTAAGGTAGAGCATCTGCACAAATGCCTGGCAATCCTGTCACCTATCAGCAAGGCTTACAGCACTGGGGCTCTTCAGCTAGCCTCCATTTCCATGTCTTCATTCGTTTTTTCACAGAGCATACTAGGATCAATATGCTAGTGTACTGTAACCTGTTATCATACTCATAATTAAGCGGCCCCATCCCAATAAATTGGAGACAGTCCATTTGCTGACAGAGCAGGGCTGCCTTTTTTTTTTTTTTTTTTTTTTTTTAAATAAAGGTCTTGTTTATTGTGTCCCTTGTCAGGCTGCACTGTGGTATCAGGCAGCAGGGCTCTGTGGCTAGGATAAAATTAGAGTGTGGTTATTGTGCTACTCAAAAGGTGGTGGAGGCTCGCTCACCGATGTAATAAGCAGAATCATTATATTTTTGTCTTTTTGAAATCACCAGTATCGCTACAAAAATATCCACAGTGTATCCAACTTAAAATATGGAATAAAGCATCTCAAGTCTCCGATAGCAGTATCCCCCTGAGAACATTAAATGTAAGAGATCATCAATCCAAGGCATTCAGAAGGGTGCTTTGCAACGGATGGTGATGGGCTGTCCTCACAGTGGCATTGATGTTGTGAATTCAATTAACTTTAGGAAAAAAAGCTATTGCTTCCCATTCTTACTGCCAAAGTCAGCTCAGGGCTACTGAATACTATTTCAGAGACTACGACGTGGGGTCCCAGCCACAGACAATCCTAAAGCCTATGATAATTCATTTGAAATGTATAATTTTGGGTCAGGCTTATTGCTATTAAAACTCATGCTTGTGTGTGCTCATGTTCTACCCACTATGCCACCTAACCAGTCCTGCTGCTATCACTATAACATACATTATAATATGTTTAAACGTGTATTTAATCAGACTTGCATTGTATGCAGGATTATTTATCACAGAGATCTGGACAGAGGCTCAGAGTTTATCACGAGCTGGTTGAAATCATGAACTCAGGAGTGGAGTCTGCTACATCTAACAGCAAAAGAGTTTCCTGGTAAATGTTGTCCTTTGCCCAAAGTGCTCTACTTTCTCCTTGTTCTCAAGGAGACGCTGTAAGGTAGGAGCTTGGTGCTTGACCACTTCCTGGTTTCAGAGAGCACCAAGTAATCTCTACTTTCTCCTCTACCTCCAGATGGAGCTGGGCCAATCTGCTGGAGCCATGCAAACTTTCTCAAGCGATTTACCAGAGGGCACAAGAAAGAGAAAGATGGCTAACTGAGTCTGAGTGGAAAATATTGGCCCTGAAGAAGCTTTAGGAGACACAAGCCACTGCTCAAAAACCCTCTGTTTCCCAGCTCTCCTGATGACATCTTAACAGTGACAGGTTCTTCAATCTGTCACTCAACCTTTAATCCCTGTGCTCAGACACATTAATATTTCTATGTAGATTGCGTTTATCTTCCCTAACCACTGTGTAAACTTAATTACACACTTAATTAATCTCTAGGATTTCATTCAATACTTAAAAACCTCCACATTCCCCCTGTCTGTCAAGTAGGCAGCTCTCTGACCAGGAAGCTTCTCTGACAAGTTCTTGAGCCAGGAGACCCCAAAACTTGGGGTGGGGAGGCCAGGCTGCCTGGAATGCCTGGCTGAGATACCTTGCAACACTCACAACTCAGCCTGGAGAGGGACTTTTGGCTGGGCACAATTACTGTAAACTCAGTGAAATGGCCTCAGAAAGAGTCAAGGGAGACTATGGGAGGTTGAGTACATCTTTGCTAGAAGGCTTTAAAGAACAGAATTCACTATAATAGGAACTCCTGGAGTCACAGGTATTGGTTGTCAAGATCTCTCAAGACCACCTTTGGGAATGAATTCAATGAAATCAAATCTACTCCCCACTCAATGGTTCCTCTAGAAGCAGCCAAAGCAGTATGACCATGAATTGTTCAGAAATGAAGAGCACAATCAACAAGCCAACAAATAAAACTCCCAATGAATTGGTGAATGAGCAAGATAAAATTCCCACCAAACTTACGTTCCCAGTACAATATAAATTGTACTGGCTTTTTAACCATG